GTTTTACAACACATGGTTTTAGCCCTCTGGTGGGAAAGACTTTAAAACAAAACTTACAACAGTTACTTTTCTCAACAACTGAAATTTAGAATAGTGTGATTAAGAAAAATATGTGAACTGTTGGCAATTTCAAATTAATATTGAAATGCACATTTTTAGAATTTTCTACAGTGAAAAGTTTTCGGAACTTCAGTGTTCAAATAAGTATACAAAAGCTAGACGTTAAGAACGTATCCAATGAGCGAGTAAAGCGATCATCGGATTGCGAAGCAATCCGAAATGAACTGCGAAAGCAGTTCCGGGGGTTGGCGAGCAGGGTGCGAAGCCTCCCAGCATGATATTATTTTTTCATATGTGCGCATACATGCAGTCTTGTCTGCTCAAATACATAGGTACGGGTTGTAATTTTGAACCTAATCCAGAAGACAAGGGAACTCCTGGATCAAGTATTGGGAGAAATTTGCCTTTGCGGAGCACTTTTTTGATGGTACTATATACGGTTCGAAGACATCATGAATGCCACTCTTCTTCAACAACACTTTCGCTTGGCTATTGGTACCACAGTTTCGACACACCAACTGTCCGAAACCGCCTTCACGCTGTAGTTCTGTATGCTCATCGACCAATAGTGTGTGTCCTGTTAACAGTAAAGCACCATCGCGGCAGCAGGGAGTGGGCAATAGAGCAAATGCTGAACTGTTTTATGTTTTTTACTATACATATTAATTACAACAATCTACTGATCCAGTTATAAGTGTACGTCAATTATAAATTAAAATATCTAAAATGTCTTCAAAGATAGAAGCTTTACTTTTAAATTTATTTGATTGTATAATATATTACCGAATAGTAAAGTCTAAGCTGAAAAATATTCAATCGTAAAAATTTATTTGGTGGTACATGTATATCTATGCATTCATCCTTATCGGAAGACACTTCTCCAGATATTCTTTTCTCTTCTATACAGGAATTAAGAGAAGCTATAAAATAAAAGAAGAAACTGTAATTACTATAATTATTTTGAGTAATAATCTTATGTTCATCATTTAGTATTCATCTTATATACAGACTATGCATATTTGTCACGAAATCTAAGCACAAATTAAAAATTTTAATTTGATTTATTCTACGTGGTAAATCTTTAAAGTAAATGTTGACTGCCTTGTTTTATAGTTTTGTTTTAAAGAAATCACTAAATATGGGTTACATGTATTTAATTAACTTTTATAAAATTATTTCTTTTTCTTCTTTAAAAATATTAGGAAGAAACTTGCTGATAAATTTAAAAGCATTTTAAGTGATCAACTCGATTTTCAATGAAATCCTATATATTGAATTAAAATATGTTAAATATATTTTTTATAAAATGCTATATATTGATTTTAATTATTGAATGAAATTATTTTTCTACACATTGAATAAAAATATGTTATATATTTTTAATCATTTAACTCTATCTTGCAAATATCTACCTTCATTTAATATTTACTGCTTTGTTAATCATTCATTTTTGATTTCAAACTATTCACTGAATGAAGGTTACATACACTAAATTGACTTTTCTAAAATTTATCCAACTCTGTACAAAAAAAAAAAAACAATTATTAATGAGGAAATGTTTAAAAGCATCCAGAGAAGTTTATTTGAGTTTCAGTGAAATGCAGTTCATGTATATAATGAATTAAAATATTTTTATTCATTTAATAACTAGATTTAGTAAATAGCAACTTCTTTTTCATTTAGTGATTCAAAAATAGTTTTTAAAAATTACATGCGATAGAAATTTTACGTTAAAATGACAAAACACGAATGTCTAAGGCATCAGTTCCTAGTCAAGCGTGGTACTTAGCCTTGGACGTTTGGTCGAGTGTCTAAACTAAGATAAATACTGTCTTACTAATGATATTAATACCAGTAATGCTGTAATACTAGTCCTTCTGAGATACAGTGTCAATTCAGTTATTAACTTTATGTGGGAAGATAAGTAGTGTTAAAAATCCTATCAAGGTTTTTTATGATGAGTATTGAAACTGTAACGCGAGCTACAATACACAATGAGCTACAATAAAGTTATTTTCTTTACAAAGAAATATTGAAGTTATACTTCTTATGCGACTTCCAACAAGGTTGCGTTAAACGTTTAACGCTACATTTTTATTGGCCGGGAAATCACGTGGTAGGATCCAGTTTTCCCTTATTCATTTCCATATTGTTTTGGTTCTCACTAGCATAAAAATAATAAAAGTATTGTTTTTCCATACGCGATCGCAACGCTCGAGTACGCCGTCTAGCGGGAGCCTGTAAATATCAGACATTAATTTATCACGTTTTCATTTAGTTCCATCAAAGTCATTGACTGAATCAGACGCCATTTTTTAGCAGCAAATAAGAAACAAAATTTCCCTAAGGAAAAGGCCGAAGAACTTGAAAAAAATCTCCAGAATATTAGTAAATCTTTCAGGAACAGAACACGCCAAACATTTGAAGAAAAATTC